TATAATACTTGCCGATACCATAGAAATTAAAGAAGGTTTGATTTATGAAGAGGTACCTATAGAAATTCTCGATAGGCAAGTAAGAAAGTTGAGAACAAAAGATATAGCATCGGTAAAAGTTTTGTGGAGTAATCATGATTCAAAAGAAGCTACGTGGGAGGTCGAGGAAGATATGAGAAAGAAATATCCATATTTATTTGAGAAAAAAGGTATGTGAACCTAAGTTCGGTTTTACATTTACATTCCATTTATTAAATACAAGTTAGCAAGTGTTTATGTCCTTCCTAGATTATATTTAGTTGTTGTAGTAATTTAATTTATGACGAAGTATATTTAATTCATTAAAGTGATTTACTTGTGCTAAAGTTGTTGTGTTTTAGATTCTTGTTAGTTATTGTGGTGCCTCCTTGCCGGAGTATGAGTAATTAATTCATGAGCTGTGTATGATGCCTATGAATGGCTTGTTATGGTATATTTGGTTGTTGTTGATATAGTAGGGGTATTTGTGGCAGGGATATTTTTTTGGACAGTCCAATTTACAAAGGAAACTCTGCAAAAAATTTTGAAAATTTAGGGAGTTAGCCAAATTTTTGAGTCCCTTGAATGATTAAGTAGTGCTAAGAAAACTTAAGAAGTTCAAGGACCTAATAGATGATTGTTAGCTTAAGAATAAGGCTCCGGTAACATTCGAGGACGAATGTTTTTAAGGAGGGAAGATTGTAACACTCCTCAAATCTAAATGTTTCAAGACCCGCTAAATAAGGAATTTAATTTTTATTATCTTAAATTATACTTCTATTACGGATTTAAGCCCTTGTGATTGATTTTTTTGAGTTACTTCTCTATTTATAAATAATTGAATATATAATTAGAGGAATATTAATAATTGTAATATAATTAAATAGTAAAAGTAGGTATCATTAGTATTAGTTAAGTGAAAACAAAATAAGAATAATAATAATAAAACATAGAAAGAAAAGAAAAAAAAAGGCATAAAGCCTTGAAAAAGGTAAAACCAATACAGAACAATTGTATTGTTCTGGTTAGTCACGAAACCAAAATAGAAAAGGCTTAAAAGCCTTGATAAAGCCAAAACAAATCAAAAGCTCAAAACACACAAACGCTGAAGAAACAGAACGTGAGAAACACACGGACGACGATAAGAAATCGAAGCAGGGAACAATTCACGCAGTCAACAGAAAATCTAGGGTTTTTTACAACTCACTTATTCTTGAACTCAGGTATATAAATTCTCTATTCTCAATTACCCTACAGTAGTAATAGGTAAGAGTTAAATAGTTAATTCCCTTCTTTCTCCATATCAATAATAGATTTCATGTTTAGGTGTGAAACTTTAAAATTGATTAAAATACACCGGTTATTATAGAATCGATTGTTTGACCGGTGTCAATTGGATTCGGGCCTACGTATTGGCTCGAGAAGTTTTGAGGTGAGTTGATATAACCCTTTACTAAAGTGGTTTAACTCACAAAAGCATGCATACTAGATGTTTGATNAATTGGATTGGGGCCTACGTATTGGCTCGAGAAGTTTTGAGGTGAGTTGATATAACCCTTTACTAAAGTGGTTTAACTCACAAAAGCATGCATACTAGATGTTTGATGAATTGCTTAAAAGAGGCTTTATTTACTTAATTGGAGTGAGTGGGTATCTATCAACTTAGAATTGCTCTAATAAAAGATTAGATGACTTATTATGATATATGTGCTTTCTATTTTTATTAGTAGTTCAGAATTTTCAAAGAGCTTGAGAATCTAACATTCTTGCTTGTTAATAATTATGAGCTAAAGCTACACGCGCGCGCGCACACACACACACACTGGGACTGGCCTTAGGAATATAGAAGTGGTTTTATAATTTAGTAACAGGATTTATTATTATCAATATAGTCCACAAATATGATGGATCAGAAAAAGCTAGGTTGATGTACCCGAATTTATTCATAGTCAACATTGCGTCTTCATGTTGAAAATTATGAAGAAGCAAGATTTTTAGAAATACTTTTGAATGTTTATTTCATTCTTATGCCATGCTTTACATTTAAGCATAATAGTATGAGTAGGTATAGTATATTCCAGAAAGGATTTAGACTTAAAAAGTCGCAAGAAGAAGTTTTAGAAAGAAAAGATTTTTGGGAGTATCCTTTATTCTGAGAAGGGGTCATCGTCCAGGCCGGAGGTCCTGACCAAGGCGTTGATTTCCTGAAACTACTTGTGCCAAAGTAGGGAGCACACGAGCCGAGGGTCTCGTTGCTGAGAATTTACTTAGCCATTCTAAGGTATGATACATGAGCGCTGAGAACCATAAAGCGAGTGGCACCTCGTGGATTGGGCCTATTCGATCAGGTTGGGATCGAACCTGTGCCGATCACACGGCGACTGAGACAGAATTAATTCAGGATAGTTGGAACTCCCAAAGTATAAAGTGAAGTAATTTTTTTTAAAGAAAGAAAAAGAAAAGAATTTTTTTTAGAATATTCATAAATTGCTAAAATGCAATTATTTTAGAATTATTCTTATAAGCTTTATGTTTTACATGCAATTAGAACCTTTGCTCGTAATGTGTATGTTATTAAAGTTTCTCCCCCTGTTGTTGAGACCCACTGAGTACAATGGATGGTACTGACGTTCTCTTTTGGGGACCTACGTTGGTCTGCGGTACAACGTAGCAACCGAATTTGCAGGCGAGCAGGCTACGATTTAGGACTTCCTTCCCTTCCAGTGATATTGGTGAGCTCCGCTTTTGTTCGTGGAGTATTCTTAGAGTCAATTTCATTTAGCTATTTCTTTGTTTATTTAGAGAACTGGCCAGGAAGTCTCATGTCCTGAGCAGTGCGTCAATTTATCAGTAGAGGCTTCATAGACATAGTTGTTCGGTTAAGATTCAGATGTTTTTGATAATAACTTAACAGTATTTCATTGGTTACTTTGAGTAAAGTTTTGGAGTTGATTTATTTAAATGTTTAAATTTATCAAAAGTATTTGGTTAGAGTAATGCCTTGTTGCATATAAAGTTTGAAATTATAATAGAGTTGATAAGCGGAGATGGTTCGCTCGGTCATGCTTAGTGATCAAGTGCCGGTCCCGGCTTGTTTAGAAAATTGGTCGTGACATTCTTGTTCTTCGCCAGTGGCAACTCTTGAATAGATTTGACTTTTGACGGATCCAGCTCTATTCCTGGCGAATCACGATGAAACCCAATAACTTTCCGGCAGGAACCCCGAATGCACACTTGGCGGGATTCAGTTTCAAGTTATACCTCCTTAGTCTGTTGAAAAACTTTCGCAAGTCCTCCATGTGATCTGCAGCTTTTCTGGACTTGATGATGACGTCGTCCACATATACCTCAATTCCTTATATATCATGTCGTGAAAGATGGTGGTCATGGCCCTCATGTTAGTAGCTCAGCATTCTTTAACCCAAACGACATTATTCTGTAGCAATACATTCCCTATGGCGTGATAAACGCCGTTTTCTCTGCATCTTCCTCATCCATCCATATCTGATGGTATCCCGCAAAACAATTGACGAATGACTGCAACTCATGTTTGGCGCAGTTATCGATCAAGATGCGTATGTTTGGCAAGGGAAAATCATCTTTGGGACTGGCCCAGTTGAGATCCCGGTAGTCGACACAGACTCTAACTTTCCCGTCCTTCTTTGGCACCGGCACAATGTTAGCCAACCAGGTCGGATACTCTACTACTTTGAGAACTCTGGCTTTGACCTGCTTGGTGACCTCTTCTTTGATTTTCAAACTCATATCTGGCTTGAATTTTTTGAGCTTCTGCTTTACCGGTGGACATGTAGGATCTGTTGGCAACTTGTGAGCGACGATGGATGTGCTGAGACCATTCATATCGTCGTAAGATGATGCGAAGATGTCCTCCTATTCTCTTAGAAACTCCGTGTATTCTTTCTTTTCTGCCTGTGATAAGTGCACACTGATGCGTGTTTCTTTGACATTCTCTGTATCTCCCAAATTGACGACCTCAGTCCCATCCAAATTGGACTTAGGCCTATTTTCAAAATTCTCGACCTCTCTGACAACTTTTTCTGGTATATCATCTTCCTCTAAGTCTATGTCCGTTTGTTGCATAGCCTGGTTGCAAGTTACAGTTGTCGGTTCATCATCAAGATATGTAATAGTAATGCTGTGTGAAAAATAAAGTAAATAATTGTGAAAAGTAATGAGTAGCGAGATATTTGATGAACTAAAAAATGCTTTTGATTAAATTCATAAATGTTCAAAACATCGGAGCTCTTTTGGAAAGTAAAGACAATGCGGAAAGTAAAAAAATGACTAAAACAAAGATGCATGATGCTCGTTCAGCCTTGCTACTCCGAAGATCTCCGGGAGATGGTGGTCCTGATCGACCAATTGGTGAGACGCTCCCCTCGGTTCACAGCCTGAATAGAAGGGCCTTCCTCCCCTTCCTCTTCGAAAATCACACAATAGTCGATGTCCTCCTCCAGAAATAGGTTCTTCATTGCCGCAAGAGCCTCGTCTTCTTCTGACTTGTAGAGAATGTCAGCTGGCTAAAATGTCTGCTCCAACTGAGGTATATGATATTCTAATGGATAATACGAGCCACGCCATAGTGGAGACCATTTCTTGAATTCCTGCCAAGTGTACTCGTACCCCAGTCCGAAGGTAGTACCATGCTTCTTCAACTGGATAGGTTTGGTGATACCCTGAAGATTCTTACCAAGCCCTTTTCCAGGTTCATACCCACTCCAATTCTGAATGCTCTCGATCTTGTTACCCCACCATTTATCTTTATCCACTGCGTTGACTCGCTCAATATGATGGTATGTTTCTCCACCTATCCTTCTTCTGCCTCCGATCATCGGGATGGTCTAGCGACTGTATATAGGGTTGCTACCATCGTCGTGGATGATCACCTCCTGATGGTTCCACTCAGATTTCACGGCCTGATGCAAGGTTGACGCCACAGCCCCAGCGGCGTGGATCCAGGGTCATCCCAGCAATAGATTATAGGATGCTGGCACGTCAATGACTTGGAAATCAACATCAAACCAAGTAGGCCCCATTTTCAAACACAGGCTAATCTCCCCGAGGGTGGACCTCTGAGATCCATCGAAAGCCTTAACGTTAATAGCTCCATCTTTTATCTCGTGCAAACCTTTGCCCAACGTCCTGAGGGTGATCAATGGGCAAATACTGAGGCTAGAACCCCCGTCGACCAAGATCCTAGTGATAATGTGATCTTCACAATGCACAGTGATGTGCAGTGCTTTGTTATGGATGAGCCCTTTCGGTGGTAATTCATCTTCATGGAAAGTGATTTTGTGACTCTCCAGCACCTGTCCCACCATGTTTGCCATCTCTCCCCCTGTCATGTTGCTGGGAACATAAGCTTCGCTCAATATCTTCATCAAGCCATTTTTATGTGCCTCGAAACTTTGTAGAAGTGCCAAGATGGAGATCTGTGCCGGAGTTTTGTTTAGCTGCTCAACGACTGAATATTCTTTAGCCTGTATCTTCCTCCAAAAGTCGTCAGGTCCGATTTCGACAGGAAGCCCAGAGGCCTGCTTGCTGGACTCAGCTAGATGCTCTGGCGTGTATACCCTGCCTATTCTAGTCATGCCCTGTGCGGCGATTGCTTCTCCAATGCATGTCTTTCCTTTCCTTCTGGCCTCGGTGGTGTAGTCCCAAGGTATGGCATTTGACTGAAATGGGGTTATAGCTGACATGGAGATCGGAATAGGCACCCTCGGTGGTAACAAAGTAACTTCAATTGGTGCGGGCACCTTCGGAGTCCCAAACACAACTTCGATCGATTTCGGCACCTTTGCAGGAGGTGCTTCAAACTCAAACGGCACAGACACGTTCACCACATCGCCTTCAGATGGCTGATTTGTACAACAATAGGATTGAGAGTAACTGCTGGCTTCTTGGGCTCATCTCTGTCAGCTATTAAACCAATTGACCCTTTGGGGTCCCAATCGTCCTCAACCACAATCATGTGGATGCCTCCACCCTTATGGTCTGGTAGAGGGTTGTTGCGAACATTGGGAATGGGCTCCTTTTCTATAATGACCTTATTGTCAATTAAGGTATGGATTTTGCCTTTCAGTGAGCGGCACTCGTCGATGGTATGGCCTTTCATCCCGGAATGGTATGCGTTGGTCTTGTTTGGATTGATCCACTGAGAAGGGTTTTCTGGGGTTATGGCTGGGATGGGTGTAACATATCCGACAGCTTTGAGCTTCTTGTATAGTTTGTCAATGGGCTCGGCAATGGCAGTATATTGTCTGGGAGGTTTGCGGTCAAAGTTTGGTCTAGGTCGTAGGAAGTTTTGGCAGGTAGGCGGTGATGGATAGTGAGGAGGTTGGGAGTTGTAAGCTTGGTATAGGGGTGCAGGTTGGGAATATCTTGGCGAGGTGGGTTGATATGTAGGTGGTGGATATGACTGGTAGACGGGTGGTGGATTTTGGTAGGTAGGTGGAGGTGCTTGGTAACTTAGGGAGGGTTGGTATGTGAGTGGAGTTGGAGGATATGGTTGATATTTCATGGGAGAATGGTTTCTCTGCGAAGCCATTACGGAATTTACGTCCTTTTTCTTCGATGTACCACCAGACTGCAAGGCTTTGTTGGTGGCTTGCGGTGCCTCAAGATTAGTAACCATACTATTTTTGATGCCCACTTCGATTCTTTCTCCCAGTTTGATGATGTCAGAGAACTTCTGCCCCTCTATCAGCATTAATCTCTCGTAGTACTGCAGATCTTGAGCACGGACGAAGAACCTGTTCATTTGTTCTTCTTCCAAAGCTGGTCTGACCTTGGCAGCTTCCGACCTCCAACGAGTAGCATACTCGCGAAAGGTCTCAATAGGCTTCTTCTTCAAATTCTGGATATAGAACATGTCTGGCGCATTCTCAGTGTTGAACCTGAAACGGTCCATAAAATCGGACGCCATGTTCACCCAACTCGTCCACTTCTTCGCATCCTGGCTGATATACCAAGATAAAGCATCACCTTTCAAGCTCCTTATGAACAGCTTCATGCGGATCTTTTCATCTCTGCCAACTCCTACTAACTTGTCACAATACATTTTAAGGTGAACCCTGAGATCACCAGTACCGTCGAACATTTCGAACTTAGGAGGTTTGTACCCCTCCGAGAGTTCGACATCGGATTGAACACAAAGATCCTCATAATTCAGCCCTTCCACGCCTTGAACCCTGCTAGTGAGTTTCTTGAGTTCAGCAGCCAAGTTCTGAATGAGTGAATCCTTGACATCTGATTCCTACACATCTGAGACGGGTTGGATATAATGGGGTACGGTGTCCACAAAGATAGGGGTGTCTTGGTTGTTTGGAGTGTTTTGGGGCTCAGGGATGAGCAGTGGAGCATTGTTGCGAGCTTGGGTTTGAGCAGGTTGTGGAGTCTTTTGTGGAGGGGCAGGGATCTGGTTATTGACATCTGCAGCAGCAAGGGTGATGGATAGACTTGCCAAACTCCGGACCTGGTCTAGTTCCTCTCGAAACCTCAGCAAATTTTGCTCCAGATAAGCAGCAGTTTCCTTGGTGATTGGAGTATTCTGAGAAGTTCCTTCAATTTCCTTTCTTGCTTTGGTATCTCCCATCTTTCCTTTGTTCCTGTTTCTAGGAGGACTCGGAGGAGGAGGAGGAGGAGGACCCTTATATCTTGTTGAGTATGCTGATGGTGCCAGAGCGCACGAACTAACCTTTAGGGAGGGGAATAACAAAAGAAAAACAAAAGGGTAAGAAGTTAGTGCGGATTCTGAGAAAGAAAACATTGCGGTATTTAAACACATTGTTACAGGAATATAAGTTGTTTCCTATTTCGATGCCTCGTTGTGCTCGAGGTAGGCCTAGCGACAGATAGAATTTGGAGAAATTATAACACCAAGTGCCTCATTTTATTGATAGAAATAGAACGAGTCAAAAACAAACTGAAATAAAGAAAAATTGTTACTGGCGGCCAGTGGCCTTATTACATCAGGAAAGTAGTAAAAATCCTAACTACTTGGTCCTAGAAGGACCTTCCCCAGATTCGGTATTCTTGTCTCCCTCGTACAGCTGCATCAACTCGCGCAGTCCCAGCAACAAATAAGCTCGAGCCAAGTGCACCTTCATTACCTTCAGCTTCCTGACAGTCGTTGATCCTTTTCAGAAATTTGCCTTCCAGCTCTACTAAACCCCGCTCCAGGTATCCTAGACGGTTGTTGGCGTGGACAACCATGTCCTTCCATTCGTTGATTAGCTTCTCCTAGGCCTCTTGTATTTCCCGATGCTCACTTTCCCACTCTCGCATCCGTTTGTGTAGCTGATTGTACTTGACCTTTGCTGCAGTCTTCTCATCAATAAGCCTGTGACCATGGACAAAACCCGGCTTTCCCAAGCCGATGTGATCATCCTCTAACCATCCTGAATAGAGCGGTGCACACCCAGCCTGATACCTGTCTGGTTCCATAGATTCCTTTTCCAAGATGAGCTTGGAGTGCCATATATGTTGAGCCTGACATATGTGTGGGCTATCGTCATTTTGGAAGTCAGCCCTGTAGTGACTCATCTTTTCCACCCTTGGTATAATCTGCTTTCTCCCCGCTTGCCTTATGACTCGGAAAGGGACACAAGGGTAAGTTCCTCTTAAGCCGATGAGTATAAGGAATGGCGCATCCCTGGACCGAATAATGAAATCCCCAGTTGGAAACCACTCGTACATCCATTGTACCTGCTCCTCTTTCAGATTCTCCAATAGTTCTACCCATCCACTGGCGTCTTCCGGGTGAGCGAACATATCTGGCATGAAGCGCATTCGCTTTGGATGATGGAAAGCGATATGGTCATCCCAATCTCTGCGTATGATTTCCTGTTTATAATCTCCCTTCTGAAGATGTTCAAGGAGCCAGAGTTGTAGTATCAAATTGCACCCTTCAAAGTTCGGTGCCCCTTGTTGACACTTTTCTAAGGCTCGGTACAGTTCGGCGAGGATCATGGGCACTATGCTGAATGTCTGCAAGTCGATACCCTTCATTATAGCCTTGGTCACCATGGCTAGTCTGGTTTGGATCCTATCCTTTTTCATTGGAAAGACTATCATGCACAGGAAACAAAACATGAATACAAATGCCCTCCTATGTATGTTCCCCAAAGAGGTGATGGCGAACTCGTCCATGTGAGTGCGGTAGGATTTACTGTGGCCGAACCTTTCATACATGAAGTCGAAGGATATGTATGAGTCCTTCAGACTGGTCAGATTAGGATCCTTCTTGAGCCCCATCATTTTCAGGAACCCTCTACCTTTGCGATTTTCTGGCATAAGCAGAACTGGGCTATCCCAGGGAATTCCGGCAAGACCCCCAATTTCTTCCAACAACGGAGTCATTTCAATATCCCCAAAGTGGAAGACAGACCGTTCACTGTCCCAAAATAGAGTAGCAGCTTCAATGATCTTGTTATCTGGCCTAACTTCCAGGAGTGAAGGAAGATTCCCTAAGTGCTTGCGGACAAGAACTCGATCACTACCATGCAGATCCTCCCACCAACTTAGTAACTTTGGGTGAATGTTTGATACCATACCGAATCTGGGGACTTCGTGCCTCATTTTTTGCAAAATAAAGTGTTAGGCCCTAACCCCACTGGACTCGACTATTTAAATCAATAATTAGCAATACGGTATTTAGTTCTCCAAATAAATGCACATAACGTGAAGGAGTCTATTTGGGTTCCAAGAAAACCCGATGGACTTTTGGTTTAGGCTATCTTAATGAGTCATTATGCGGACAGCATAACTGACTCAGCTAAGTTTGACCATGATGCATGAACAGTATAACGGAATAAGGTTTCTACTTTTGAAATGCTAGACAAGGTACCCTTGAGCGGACAACTCAAGAGGGAAAGGCACGAAACCGTCGACTACACCGTTGATCGACTGGTTTTACCGCAAATATGCCTTTGCCAAATTTAGGGGGTTTATAATATTGGAAGAGCGCAACCACTCATTATAAGAGTTGCTATAGGATTTGTTTGGCACGAGTGGAAAATGATGTTGAAGGATGCAATTACAACAATGAAATAGATACATGTATTTTCACGTTCATAAAAATAATGATTACAATAGATGCTTGGAATTTAAAGCGGAATTGACATAAAGTAAATGCAGTAAAGCAATAAAACAGCTAAAGAAAAAGAAAACATGAAGAATTAAGTTAGTAATTATGAAGAAATGATTAAAGCGGTAAATAAAGGCAGTAAAGAAAGCAATAAAGTCACAAAGCACGTAATGGTAAAAGCCTTAAAAAAAAATCCCCAGCAGAGTCGCCATGCTATCGACGCCCCCTTTCTCATGAGCGAAATCGGGTTTACGACATTATGGGCAAAACAACTCTTTGTTCCCATTTGGGAATTGGGTCACGGAATTTGAAGAGTCGCCACCTAATGATTATAGTGCTTTAGAACACTTTTAAGAAGAAAAGAGCAATTTGAAAGAAAAACCAGAGTTCGGGTAAGGGCTTGAGATTATCTCGAGGGAAAGGTGTTAGGCACCCCTCAAGATCCACTAGTGTGGTTCCCGGCCGTGCTTAATTGTGACTTTAAGAAGACTAGAAGCAAACAACAAATAAGACTCACATATTCAAATAAATTGAGAGTTTTCAAAAGAGGAAAGGCATAAAGGATCTAAAGCAAAGGTAAGGGAGAAATCATTTGAGGGAAATGATTAATTTAAGAAAACATTTAAACAAAATAAGCAAAAGAGAAAGAGGTCCTAGGTTTGACTATAATATGGATCACATCGGTACAATACCCCGCATACACTCCTCAAAGAGGGGTCGCCTATGATATTAGCGCACCGGTCATCATCTCCATATTCTACCCTTCCCACCCCGTAGAGGTTATTTAAGCGTGTGGATTGGTCACGAATACTTATTGCGTGCTATTACCCGCCCCGTTCTATAGATCCTAGAGTGCATTTAGGATCACTATTCCTATAAGGTAGGAAATAGGCTGAACCCTTAGGTTTAAAGGTTAAAATGCTAGACGACATACAAGAACAAATAGGACTTGCACATAAGGGGAATCACGTAAAAACATATAAAAGGCTCAAATATCCCTCTATAAACGAACACATAATTAGCACGTCTCAAACACATTTAAGGTCTAAGGAAGGAAGAATTTTCAAAAGCCGGAGTATAAAATTAAAACAGAAGTTGGAGATTTTGCAGAAGAGGAACATAAGAGAACACATTCAGAATTTAAAAGAGGCAGTAACAGTTTTTAGAAACCTGCAGAAATCATTTAGAAACAGTTGTGGAATGCCTGGTAAAACAGCTTGCGGACAGGAAGAGTAAAAGACCAAATATGAAAGCATTTTGAGATTGCAGAAGTGTAGAGAAAAACAGTAAACATGCTAGCTTTTGAGTTTTTGAAAATTACAGTACTCAGATGGTTGAAATAGAAGTCCAATTCTGGACAAGGAATATAGCAGAAAACTTTGCATAGACAGTTTAAAAATAGGGCAGAAGTTTGTAAAAAAAAAATTAGAGAGAGCTTAAGAAACAACCGAGTTCAGACAGGGATTGATTGATTTGAACGCGACTTAAAGGTAATTAGTCAATTTTTCTCCGGCCTAAGGCTTGCCTAGGCATTATTAAAAGTGGTGAGCATGCAATAGTTTCCAGTTTTAACGAGGGGCTATTAACCAGTTTTACCCAGATTAGCGGAGTGTTTAAACAGTTGCAAATAAAAATCCTAAAGGCATGGTATCTGATGCACAAAAGGTCCTATGAACATGGTATCTAAATATGAGGTTTAATGACTCATTGATTATTGATTAGTTTGTAATTAAAAATGTGCAAAATAACAATAGAGAGTGAGAAACCTAGGAGCATGATTTCTGTATGCAAAGATGCATGTCCTAAACATGGTATCTATTGCACAAGTAAGTAAATAAAGGCCTATAGACATGTTTTCTACCCATTCCCTTAACTAAGCATGCATAACCCTCCCAAATTCACTATATACCAAATTATTCTTACAAATTATTACAGCCTTAATTATTAAATTACAACAGTGATAAAAGAAAATGAGAAGTTACTCTATAGGGAGCCTTCAACCAGGCCAAACATCTCCAACCTCACTTCTTTCGAGTTTCACAGCCATTACCAAGGCTTGGGTGCGGCAGAGTTCCCTAAGGGTTCGTTTGAACCCCTGACTATTACCAAGCACCTAAAATATCATTATTTGACAAGTGCAAGTGTGGAAGTGCCAGCCTTGTGCATCAAAGTTCAATGGGTGCTCAAGGGCTCCCAAGGCAATGCTTACACTAAGGGGCCAGAACCTAATGTTCTAAGAGTAGTGAGATTGTGATAGAATTGAGAGAGTTGAAAACAGTTGAGAGACAATTTGAGGAAAAAACAGCTTGAAAGAGTTGAGAGACAGTTTGAGAAACAGTTGAGAGAATTGAAAGAGTTCTTTTGAAATCATTTGGACCTTTTCAGAGCATCACACAAACAGGGGTAAAGGGGAAGGGAACAAATAAGCAAAGTAAACTACTCACACACATGCAACATGTTGGAAGACGTAATCAGACATGGTTGCGAAACAAGAGTTCAGTACTTAC